TGCATGATCCGCCGTCCGCTCCTTCCTCCATTCCAACCGCTCAGCCAAAATCTCCCAGCTAACCTGCGCATTAGCACGACCCACGCCCTTCAATCCAGCAGCCAGGAAACCGACAAGTTGATTAAACTGATCTTGGGTTGCTTTCACTTTCTGTAGGTATTGTGTTTCGTGAACTGGGGTCTGTCTATCGTCGTGTTCAGGTTCCTCGTCTTCGTCTTCGTCTTCGTCTTCCTCTTCATCACTCTGGTCTTTGTCCTGGCCGTATTCTTTCTGGGCAGAGTTGATCTGGGTATAGCGAGTAGATCGGAGATCGGAGAAGGAGACACAGAGGTCAAGGAGGGAGATGATTGCTTCGTAGAGGGGGACAAGATTTTGGGAGAGAAGGCATTGGTCTTCTAATGAGGACATGTAAGATTGGTGGACGGATACCATTGTGTCGACGTCACTACAGGCTGAGAGATCTTTGCGGAGTGAATTAGTAGTAGTTGAGATGACAAAGTCGGTCATGTGGCTGTATAGTGTGTTGAGGAACCAGAGCATGTTATGTCGGAGGGCGTAGGCCTGGGCGTCGATTCTAGTCTCGGAGGGTTGGGGTAGATATTGTAGACGTTGTTTTACGATTGTGTGTTTTGCTCTGCGGATTTGCATGAGGAATGTCGAGAGGCGTTGGTAGCTTAGTATGGCGTCTTTTGTGATGATGTTGGCTACGGGCCAGGGGAGGATGTAATCGAATGAGATGGCTTGGAGGAGCTTGACGGAGCGACTGTGGGTGTTTTCTTTATTGGTGGGGTCTTTAGAAGACCGGACTATTACTCTAGATGGGTCGATGAAAGGTAAGGCGCTGAATGCGCTCTGGGCGAGTTCGGTGAGCAGATATCGGTCGTCCCAGGCTCCTCTGCCTCGGTCGATAAGGTCGAAAATTTTATGGTCGATGGGTCCGAATACGCTCATGTCTTTGCAATGGTAGATATGCTCCAGCGCTTGAAGGGAGACCCCTAGCCCACACTGCTGATCCAGCTCTCTTCGCAACAGTGATGATGTGAAGGAGTGGTTCTCATCTACTATTCGCCCAAAGGCCGAGTCGAGTAATGCTGAGAACGGCATGTAAATGGAGGCAGAGTCTTCCGGGAATACGTCTCCAAGCGTTAATGAGCTCTTTCTTGCGTGCGCCTCGTCCTCCGACACATCCAAGTGTCGTAGGAAAACCATGCTTTTGCCTGCAACAAAAATCTTGCGAGCGATGGGTTGAACAAATTTCGGCGCACTTGAAAACCATGCTGATTCATCCAGCGTATACCATCCATGCCATAAGGTTCGTAGGTCTTGGTCATTATTACGGTTGTCGCGGATGAAAAAGGAGCCTTGAAGAGATTCCTCTAACTCTCCCTTCTCCATCCAAAGGCGAATTGGGCGTGCGTAAGTTTCGAAGCACGCAAAAAACAGTTGAGCTAGGAACTTGAACTCATTTTCGTCACCGGTAGCTTGTGTCATGCAGACGGAGTCGTAAAGAAGATCAAGACAGCGTACAGGGCTATCCGATGCGTCATGTTTGAGATTGGATACAATTTCTGCTAGCAAAAGAAGCAGCTTTGATTCACGGAGAACGCTCTCATATAACTGTAGAAGACTGACCGCAATAGTTCCGGATTGCGATAAGTACTGTGCCTGCACATTAGACAAAAACCCGTCAAACTCGCGCAGGCGATCTTCGATGCCCCGGTGGAAAGTCTGCAGGTAAGGAATGACCCGGGGGACTTGGTTGTATCGTCTTAAGATGTCTATTTTTGACCCAATTGAGCAGAACGAACGTAGCAATGATGATAGCGTTTCACTTGTTAAATGCGCTAGCGAGTATTTTCGATCTACCTCAACGCTTTCATCATAACGCCAAAATAAGGATGTAGGTAGGCCTTGTAGCATGAATATAGTCTCTCTTACAATCTGAAGCTCTGTGAGAACTTGAGAGGGTTTGCCTCCATGCTGTTCAGTGTCGGTACTGGTTTCATTTCGCCAGAATTGGGCGCTTTTGATCGAAACCACAAGGTCTTCATCTTCTCCTGAAGAAAATAGGTCCTCTGGAATCACGTAGTCCTCTTCTAGGGCTATGGAGGTTTGAGGTAAAGATCGTCCATGATAGCTATCACTTGATACGGATGAGAGGTCATCCTCGGAGGATCCAGCGCCGAAGTCTACAGATTCCCATATATCCTCCTCACAATACGCGGTTCCAGAAACATCTAAATCTGTCCAAGAGAGGGATTCCACATGCTCTTGAGGCTTCTTGAGACTCTCAATGCGATCTACCTTAGACAGCTGAGCAGGACGATCAGCAAGCTGCAACAATAACGAGAGAATCTCAGGGAAACATAAATCCCGGTGCTCATTTAACTCCGTGAGACGGGTGCGGAGAGCGTCTGCTAAGTCATCTTTATTGAGAACCTGGAACTTTTCTTGGAGTCCCTCTAGCTGGTACGCAACCGCAAACTGGTCCGTACGGCCATGAGCATTCGCTCTTAGAGTATCTTCGGCACGACGTTTCAAGATTTTGAAACGGGGGTTTCTTTTATCAACCTTGCCGACGGTCGCAACCAACTCGTCGGTTAGCGCACTAATACTGGCGGGGATGGCCATGACGACTGATTGGAGGGGTTATTCTGCAGAACTAAGCCAGCAGCTAGCGCACAGATTCCCCATTGCCCATCACCACGGAAGGGAAGTAAGTGTAAATTTAGATGAGTAGTAGAATTGCGACAGCCTTTAGGTGGAGGGTTACGCGGCTTTTGTATTGATTGGCGGCGGTAGTTGACGTGTTGTTTGAGTCGCCACGCTAGACCCTTTGGGGGAAAAAGGCGGCATCGAGACCTCCAGCGAAGTCTCTCCTATACCAACTCGATTCATTATCTCTCTTTTTTTTTTCCCCTCCTTCCTGCCTCTTGCTTGCTGCCGTTTCGCACTCAGTCAAAGTCAAGATGGCTGTCGCAAGACCCATTCGCATGCTGGGTGCGTCATGCATTATTCTCATCCTCTTCCTGATCTTTCAAATGAACAAGGGACCTACTAGCATCATTAGTAAGGGGCCCAAAGGGGAGTATACCGGCATACAAAACGACCCCCTCAAGGAGCGTATGTTTTTCCTTCCACCTCTCCTTGGCTGTTTTATAATATATGTACCGTGCATATCCGAGGCTGACAGGGCAACTTCTTCTTCACAGCGACCGGAGAACCCGAAGGACATTTATGGCGAGCTGACGAGCACGATTATGCCCCCGACAGTGCCAACTCCGCCCGGACCAACGCGGCGCTCATCTCTCTCGTCCGGAACGAGGAGCTGGAGGAGTTGATTCCGACAATGCGCGATCTGGAGCGGACCTGGAATAGCAAATTCAATTACCCCTGGATTTTCTTCAACGACAAGCCGTTTACGGAGGAGTTCAAGAAGCGCACACAAGCGCTGACCAAGGCGAAGTGCCAATATGGTATGACGAATCGAAACTATATATCGGACGATCGGTCTAACTAGTACTCAGAGCAAGTACCTAAGGAACACTGGGATGTCCCCGATTGGATCAACATGGACCTCTTCCGCGAGTCCGCCGAGGTGTTGAAGGAGCAGGGTATTCAGTATAGCGACAAGGTATCCTACCATCAAATGTGCCGCTGGAACAGTGGCCTATTCTATCAGCACCCGGCCCTTAAGAACTACCGTTACTACTGGCGTGTCGAGCCCAAGGTTCAGTTCTTCTGTGACGTTGATTACGATGTGTTCCGATTCGTAGAGGACCGCAACATCACCTACGGTTTCACCATCAACCTTTTCGACGCTCCCCAGAGTATCCCAACTCTCTGGCCAGAGACGAAGAAGTTCCTTGCTGCAAACCCGACTTATCTGTCCGACAACAATATGCTGGACTGGTTGACGGACGACCAATTGCGACCAGAGCACACCAAAGATGCAAATGGGTACTCTACTTGCCACTTCTGGTCCAACTTTGAGATCGGTGATATGGAGTTCTTCAGGGGTGAGAAGTATTCTGCTTACTTCAATCATTTGGATCGCGCGGGCGGCTTTTACTATGAACGATGGGGCGATGCTCCAGTGCACTCCATTGGTCTGGGTTTGTTCGCAGATGCGGCGAAGGTTCATTGGTACGTAAATCGGTCCCATATTCCACTTTCTGCCCACGCTGACCGGATTACTCTTCACAGGTTCCGCGATATTGGATACAACCATATCCCTTACTACAACTGCCCCAACTCGCCCAAGTGCTCCGGCTGCACCCCAGGCAAGTTTTACGCCGGCGAGCCCTTCCTGGCCAAGGAAGATTGCCGGCCTAGCTACTTCAAACATGTCGGAACCCATTAATCTTCTGTAACATTCTATTACATTCTCTGGAAGCGCTCGCAGCAACAGTCAACAACCGTCCAGGCTCTCCACCGGATAGATTGCGGCGGCGGCTGCAGCGAACGGGCATGGTTTCTCTTGATGGATCTGTATATTATCAGACTTGGGACTCGACGAGTCCACCTCGGGTACGAGAACGTCCCGTTATCCGACATCTAACGACCTCAGTGCGCGACTATCACGACTGGTTTGTTCCATTGTACATCGCATACTCAGCATTGACGACCCTAAGCACTTTAACTTGTTTCTCTTTAAATCCTGGTGGCGTTGAAAGGATCGGTCATGCTCTTTTTTTTATTCGATTTTCATCCCCATATTCACCTTAAAATAGTCTCATATTTGATATCTAGCCGCGTTGTGCTCTCTTGATCGAATTGCTGCCGGCCTTGGTTGTACCTATATATTTCGTGACATTTCAAACTGTTCTTCTGACGAGGATACCTTAGACCGGCGCATTTATTGTCTTTTTATTGTCTCGTTTTCCATACCATCTAGTTGCTTTCGTCGTTGACATCTGCATATGGACAGATGTACTTTCAGCGACACGAAAAGTGTGTATATCATGGCCGTTTGGTATTCATGTTATGCGTCCAGTGGACATCAAAAACAACCCCTTGAATTTTCACTATCTCCAATAATACAGAGTACAATCAAATGCTCACAAGATTTATAGTAATAGTAGCACTGGTATAGAAAAGCACGTGTGCACCTCCATTCAAACCCCGCGACAGTAGGGCTCCGGTCGGAAGATAGGGATAGATCAAACCCATCAAAGAGACACGGGGGACACCTCCACCAACTGCATTCTAGAGTATGTATACAGCTTTCCTATCTAATCGACTGGCACAGTGGGACAAAAAAAAGTGATTTGGCATGACGAGACTATGGTCGATTATTTACTGCTCGCCGGGGTAGAGCTCTTCACGGAGAGCAACGCCGAGCTCCTGGCGGAGACCCTCAAGGGCCTCAAGGTATTGCTTGTACTGGTCCTGGGTCTCGACCTTGGCCTTGATACCTATTCGAACGAGCCGTGTGAGTTTTATGACTGATTCACAAAGTCATGACAAATGCAGGGGAAGATATGGGGAAAGCGCACCCTCGAAGACACGGACAGCGGTGGGGAAGTCGTTGACGCGGCGAGCGGCCCTGAGAGCGGCGGAGAGGACCTCAACGGAAGGGACGAGATCGTAGGCGAAGCAGTTGTTCAGGTTGCGCTGGATTCATAGAAACAATATATCAGCATTGAGTTCTCTCACATGTAATCTAGATACGTATAGTGGTGTGGAGCGATCTGCCAATGGTAGGCTGGATGATTATAAAACCGAGATCCAAGTGGATAAGGGCCATATATGGAATGTTCTCTGTGCGAGAGAAGCCTGGCTTACCTGGAGCTCGAAGACATCCTGGACACCGTCGAATTCCTTCTCGAATCTGTTGCGTTGCCAGCGTTAGTTGGGAAGGAGATCCTTTTTTTTTTCCTTGGTTTTCCCTCTCTCGGCGATAGATTCCGACAGCAAGCATCAGGAGATTACGGCCAACCGGATCGAGCCCCTGCTGTCGGTGTTTGAGGCTCGCTCACGGCTCGTCGTGGGCTCAATGGCTCGCTGGTTGGGCTGGCATACCTGGCAGAGAACTCCTCATATGTCTCATCCTCGTGGTGACCACCCAGACGCTTGGAGGAGGTGCTGAAGGCAGGACGGTTGATAGCGAGAGCAACCGGGGTCTGCAGGCGGGACCGGGGCAATTGGGGAGCTCTGAAGAGGCTGGCAGGGCGGACGGCGCGGGTCGCGACACGGAAGACAGAAACGGGCGACATTGTGAGGGGGGTTGGAATGGAGACGCGGGCGAATTGACGTGGTGAGAGGAGAGGAGGATGGGCAAGGTGTGGACGAGGTTGAAGTCAGAGGACAAGGACGGCTGCGCTAGGATTTTGCGGGTGGTGTGAGGCGGTGGGTGCCTCAGGTTTCACAAGCGGTCGTCCGTCATCGATTCCTTTGGCGGCTCCCGTTCACGCCCGATCGTGGCCTGAGGCTGCGATCGCTGTCATTCGCTCGTTCCGGCTCGTGATTTGTATTTCTTAGTCCTGATTGGCTAGAACATAGTCGTGTCAATTCTGGGCGGTAATTGGTTCGACTATTCCGGTTCTTAGGTTCCATCCTTCGATACTACGAGTAACGGCCTCAGTATTGGATTATAATATGGTTCGATCCTTCGAGTACCTCTATCCTTCAGGATAACAACAACCAATTCCAATACTCAAGCATTTGACAAATGCAGCCAAAATGTATATAAGAAAAGATGTGAGGGTGTATTCTACTAATCAACTTAAGCAGTTTCGTTCGTCACTCCTTCATAAAGGATTGCGTAATGCAATTCTTATTACATGATCCCTGTCAGGAACAGTCTTCCAGGCCACGGATTGAATGTATTGTATGCTTTCATAATTTGAAGTTATATACTAACGTTTTCCTCCATGGTTATGAAGAGAAATACTAGGCTATCGGGTATATTGAACAAAGCAGGCTGGATTATAATTTGTGCGTTCGTAATAAAGTTAGGAAGAGAGTCCACCACAGTGGGATATTATACTTGGCTCCCGAGTTGGCCCAATCTAAACATAGAGGATCAGATAAGATACTCCTCATGAAGAAGTCTGCATTGCCCAGTTAAACTACCTGTATACCGGGAGACGAAGATAGCGACAGTGTTCTGGCACGGCACATATTATGATGCCTGAGGCGACAAATTTGAGTGACTCAAAAGATAAGATCGTTGACAATCAAGAATGACATCAGTAGAAAGCACATCACTAGACATCTACACTGCTTGAGTCAAACTATGCCCTCCGCTTGTTCTTATCCTTTAACCTTCGGAGACTTTTGTTGAGAGCAGTGGATCTACGATTAATAATCTGCCCTTTGAACCCAACCATTTATCAGCAACGATTTCATCATTCTCGGCATACCGAGGTACTAGCGAGGTATTTAGGTCAGGATCTAGGGATAGATTCAAAGTCTCTCTTATCAACTTACCCTACCTTCCTACTTCAGAAGTGTATCTATTTTCCCCGCCCATCTTTCCTCAGCACGGTTTCAACGAATAAAATGGCGTCCGCGGTCATCAACCAAATTGCTATCCTTACTCCTAAGGAGGGAAAGTTTGACGAAGTGGGTACCTATCAGCTGGCAAATTAGCCATCTAATCCAGCATAAAGCACTTATGATCAAGATGAGCGGCACTTCAATGGAAACATGAAAATCGAAGCTAATGATCCCTGTTTGCTGTAAAGCTCGCCGCTGAACTGGCCAACATCACCCGGAACGTGCAAGAACACGAGCCCGAGACGCTGGTGTATTATGCTTATGCCGATGCCAAGAAGGAAGAGATCATTGTCGTTGAGAGGTTGGTCTGTCCTTCAGTTATCTGTTGATTGCTTTTTCTTCGTTTTTCATTGACAATGACATTACTAGATATGTGAACCAAGCTGCCTCGGACAAGCACCGGGCTGCACCTTACTTCCAGGATCTCATCAAGAAGGCCCCTGAGCTGCTAGGCAAACCATTGGAACTCAAGGTTGGCAATGAGTTGCTCCAGGAATCTGCACAAGTTGTCCGAGTGTAGGATATGAGCTTGTCTGTTCTTTATATAGTTTGATGACATAATTACATATGACTTCTTTGGATTGAGTGTCTTCTCTATAAGCATTAGGCTCGATGTATGTCTGCATCAGTCGAAAAGCTCCTTTAGAGAGGCTGAGTTCATTGCAATGTAGATACCGAACGGGGTTGTTCCCTTAAATAGAGTTCTTTTTAACTTTTTGCCCATGCCAACAGTCTCCTGCACGATGTCTATGTCGCGCATGCACTGTCTTATTCTATACCACGTCAACAACTCGGCTTAAATCTATTATAAGAAATTTTAAGTTGGTTCGTCTTTCGCATGCGAAATAAACAGGTTGTCCTGATGAAGTGTAAAAGTTTCACGAGTATACACAAAACTAGCTTGTGTTCAAGGCGGGAAATATATATATCAATCCAATAGGTATTATTAAGAGTATATATATAATCACGAATGTTAAAACCAAATTCAGTAGCAACCCTTTTTTTTTTTTTTATTAAACAAAATCTTCAATCAAATTCCATTGAAATGCTGTAAAGAAATATTAACCTAGATCTAAACAAATGTGGTCCATGAGAAATAGTTCCCATGGAGATGTACTGGATATCAAGAAATTGCGGCGGGACTAGTAATAACTAGTAGGCTCACCTATTCCTGAGCTCTCATGACTTGGCGGACCCTCATTGGTAGATCTGGTGGACGTGAAATTGGACTCCATCGGACTGCCTGGGACTAGCAGTAACCATGGATTCTGCTCAAGTACGTGCATGTGAAAATCAGTGTGGTCTGTTCGCTGTTTAATTTGTCTGGATTTGCCAATAACTTGTGAATCGCGTGAGTCTACGCTCTGTTCATACTAAACCTTAAGCTCAGTACAATTGGATTATGATCCTCGTCGGTAATAAGTTGTGAAAATAAGGCAATCTTACCTGGACAGACAATGAACACAAGAAAATCGATGCCTGAAGAGGGACTCCGGAAGCACGGGAAGGCACATGATCCGCAGGCCCTAATGGACAGCCGCCCCTTTTTATCAAGACCGAGGTGCGTCCCCTGATTGGATGAAACCTGCGGACGTGCCAAAAAGGGACCCCAACCAGAAAAAAACGACACGCGGAGAAGAATCGAATCTCCTTGCGCCTGCGCCTTCTTTGCTTTTCCTCTCCACCTCCTTGTCTCGTCCCAACCACAGTCGACTTTTTTTGTCTTCTTCTTCTTCTTCTTTTCGTTCCTGTTCCTTTAATATCCTCCTCTCTCTTCTCTTCTTTCTCTTGCGCTCTGTTTCCCTTTCCGTTTCTTGTCATTCCTTGTGCCATTTTGACAGGTTGCCTTGCAGCAGCCCCGAGGAGAAAAAAGAGAAAAGCATCTGTAGTCCTTAGGGCTTCAAGGTTTTCCTTTGACAACGACTATTTTAGCATAGTACTGTTGTTAGGACTTATATACGCTCGATCTCCATCTTTCAACCTCACCATTCACAATGGCGCTCGAATTCTTACAGAATGTGCCCCGTCCGACAATTGATCGGCCCTTTGGCATCCACCTCTGGCCCATCTTCGACCAGGCTTTTGAGAAGGTCGTGGGCTATCCCGCCAGCGAGTTCAAGTTTGTTGAGGGAGAGACCCCCATGTCCGGCTTCCGGGAAACCGCTGCGATGCTCGTGACCTACTACGTCGTGATCTTCGGAGGCCGCATGGTCATGAAGAATTTCCCTGCCCTCAAGCTCAACACCCTATTTATGATTCACAACTTCTATTTGACCGCGATCAGCGCGACTCTATTGGCCCTCTTCATCGAACAGCTTCTGCCCACCATCTGGAGAAATGGAATCTTTTTCGCCATCTGCGACTACGAGGGTGGATGGACTCAGCCCCTGATTGTTCTGTACTATGTCAGTACCGCGACTATGATAGAATTAAACCAGTTATGGGAATACTGACGCGCAAATAGCTCAACTACCTGACTAAGTACTTGGAACTCATCGACACCGTCTTCCTGTTCCTCAAGAAGAAGCCTTTGACCTTCCTCCATACTTATCACCACGGTGCCACTGCTCTCCTCTGCTACACCCAGCTTATTGGTTTGACCGCTGTCCAATGGGTTCCTATCACCATTAACCTTTTGGTCCACGTTGTCATGTACTGGTACTACTTCCAGAGCGCCCGTGGCATCCGTATCTGGTGGAAGGAATGGATCACCCGTCTTCAAATCATCCAGTTCGTTATCGACCTTGGTAAGTAACATCACTGATGACGTTCGGAAGGGACCGCGGCTAATCAGACATCAGGCTTTGTCTACTTTGCATCCTACACCTATTTCTCCTCCACCTACTTCCCCTGGGCACCCAACATGGGCAAGTGTGCTGGAGAGGAATTCGCTGCCTTCGCTGGAATGGCCATCCTTAGCTCCTACCTGTTCCTGTTCATCTCCTTCTACATCGCTACCTACAACAAGGCTGCCAAGACCGGCCGTCCCCGTCGCAACACTGGCAGACAGGCTGTTATCGATATGGCAAAGATGGAGGTCGTCCCCTCTGCCAACGGCAGCGCAGCCAATGGCAACGCCAAGTCGAACGGAGCAGCAACCGCTTCTGGCCGCTCCAACGGCCCCGTCACCCGCTCCCGCAAGGCCTAAGCCTATAATATCTCTTTGGCATTTTGGAATGATATTGGCATGACTTATGGAGCAACCCGCTTGGTATAGTAATACCTTCGGAGGGCCCACGGGAGGGCCAGCAGAATGCCCATTCCAGGAGTTATACTCGCTTTGGTCCCGTTCTAGTTCAAATTGGATCTTTTGCCAAACCATGGCAAAAGACACCAAGAACCAGATACTTCTCGACTTTGCATATTTCAACCGTTTAATCTGGTACCCAATGCTTTATCTGTTTAATGTATGACCATTATGATATTGGTCGCCTTCACTTCGCGACCATGATCCACGTCAATGTCGCTTTGCTGCATACGAATGTGCGATACCAGCTTCCAGCTAATGTGTGAAAGGTTCTCTTCTGCCTGGGAACACGTCGAAGTGACCAAGGTTGCTCCGATTGTTTCCGGTCTGTATTCTACCTTTATTATCACGTCTTCTGCCGGGTGCTGCTGGTTGCACCCGTCTTTTTTTTTTTTTTTTTTTTTCTTTTTCTTCTTCCTTTTCCTTTCCTTTATCAATGTCTTTTTACACCATTGTGAAGTTTTATAGATGCCAGCTAAACTTAAATGTAATCATGGTCATGTGTGTTTTCTTTTTCCAGATGAAGAGAAAAATGTTTCAATATTACTGCTAATGTATATATATTTGCTATACTTGTTGAAAAATATGCTGAAGTTCTCATTCCCAAGCACTTGTAGTCCGTTCTAAACGTTGACAAACCCCCAACATGATCACATCAGCATTGGAGGCTACTTGCATCTAAGCGAGTCTATATAAGAGCGGGTTGATATATGCGATAAATTAGAAAGTTATAAATTCTTACCATAAGAGAGAGGGTCTCACTATAGGTACATGTAAAAATCATATCAGACATTCAATATTCCACGACACATACATTCATAGAAACTAAGAGAGGGAAAACATGAACAGAAACCAAGATCCTCCGAAGCATATAAGATAGTAGGTATAATCGTAGTTAATACAAAACAGAATCAAAATAAAAGTTCATAGAGGAACGCTCCATTACTCTTAGTGGTCGGAGTCGCACCCTCCTGATAAATAGTTTTCCTATATATATAGGCAGATGATGAATAGGACACTAGTCTTTCAAACAGGCCATACTACTATTCCACGTTAAATATAGAGATATATTCACGAAAATGGATGCTACAACACTGGGGAATAGAGTGAGAGATATATATATACATAGAGAGAGAGAGAGAGAGAGAGAGAGAGAGAATCAAGGACCTCAAAAGAAAGGTAGATTGCAAGAAGCTAGACCGAACATCAGGTTCAAATCCCCATGTACTGAGAAGATGAGCTCGAATGTATTCTGATAGGGCGAGAACTGGTGTATGATGTGTATGAGGTACATGGGTTAGTAGTAACGGTAGTATTGGCCATGGAGATAGACAAAGCAGAGATAAACGAGTCAAAGGTTACTTGTTGAGAGACAGATGCGTCAAAGGACTTGATTGAGATGCCATGAATGTTGGCGTTTTATTCTCAAGTAGGAGCGGATTATTCTCATTTCAAGGACGCTGGACTAACTCCAAGACGGTGAGGAGGATCTTTCATAGACATAATGATGGATACCAAGTACGATTATTATTGGCACAGGAGAGTTCAGAGTGATTATGTGCATAAAGAGATATTTATCCAGGGCAACGGTAGAGTTACGGCCCCTTATCCTGCTTGCGTATACGAGATGGTTGATGGGTTGATTATCCGAAATAAAAAAGCAAGGGGTTATATGATACTTGGCATCTGTCAGTCTTTTTATAGGAGATAATCGGAAATATAAAGTGATTCGGAGAGTTAATACGGTGGCATCTTCTGATACCATGATTTCGGTTTCCGGGTTGTGCTCGCGAAACCTGATGTCTCTTGGGGATGGCGCAGACATTGGTGTTTTTCATGTGGGTTTCAACACTCCGCAGAAAGGCCGGAGATGAAGGGAATAAGAAGTTGTCGCCTACTAAGTAAACTATAGTTTCATTCTACAATGATAGAGCCCGGGGTCCACCGACGACGGAGTCTCCAAGAGAATCAATCATCCACAACTATGTGTAAGCTTTGAATGACCTGAATTCAAACCAAGGACACAGTTTCAATACATTATGTAAGGGCAATTGTCACGTAGGATTAATGATTAATTAGCACACACACGCTTATAAGTTAACGGTCCAATGCCATGAGAACCAAGGTTTGATTTATACAGATCAGATCATATATATGACATCTCGCACTTTAGGGCTCTTCCTCCCATTTGACCAGAGTTTATTTATAGCAAGTGCCGTTTTCTTCGAGGTGGATATGCGGTGGAGAGCCTCGGAGGACTATTGATTTTTAAATTGCTTCCGAAGCCTCGGAGAACACTATCTGTCTTGAATCTTCCACATTCGGAGTACACGGAGTACGCGTAGTACGGACTGTCTGACCATTTCAGCGGGCCATGGTTGAGGCCAATAATTCCGGACACTATTGGCGTTTGAAACCTTCCTTCCAAGATGTCTTGCAGTCAATGTTTGTGTATTGACTTCGAGCAAGAAATCCCCCGTCTTTTTCCAATTGGTGGATCCGGTACCTGGATATGATATGACATCTTGGCGGCTTTTCCCTTTCCGAATTAGGTCGGATGTGACGCTGGAGTTTGGTGATCGTGCACTAAGCGCACTGGTGCGTGTTCAAACTACTCAGTGAGGAGCAGCGAGATTAACCTCGGCCACGACTAAATTTAACCTCAATATTCAAGATGACAAGCTCCAACGATGGCCTCTACCATGGGTAGCTCCAAATGGACATGAGCCCATCGTTAAGGTTCTTCTCGCGACGGATGGGATAGATCTTAACCGCGAAGGCTCTGCAGGACGGTCACCAGATGGTAGGGATACAGGCGGACAGACACCTTTGTTAATAATGGCAGCTTCAGGGGCGGATGCCCTTCTTGCTCTTATGTGTGTGGATTCGGGTTCGAGAGACAATCATCGACGCATTCTTCTTCTGCTAGCTGCTCGCCATGGGCATACCGAGACCGTACAGCAGCTTTCTCATTGTTAAACGCGTCGATCCAAATGTAAAAGATGTCAAGGATACTACACCCCTTCATCTCGTCATGAAGCTTGGAAATATCGCCATGAAGCAGCTTATTGTCATAGACGCGGTGGACCCGGAATGGAGACATAATCGCGGATATGAAGCCCTGCTAATAGCGACACGATACCCATACTTCGAGGCAGCTGAGCTCTTATTCTCCATGAGACGCATGCAGATTGACCCGAGTTCTGGGAGGGGACCGACAAAATTACATATGGCTACTCTTGAGGGCTATAGGGAGATCGTCAAGTCTTCAAGACAACGAAGTAGAGGTATTGCTATTGTGAGTACGGTATCAGGGCGTGAAAGAGCGCGATGGCTAAATAGTGTTGCTTTAGAAGAGCAAGCGTAATGAAACCTGACCGTAATGGGTAAGTTATTTCGCTGGCAGGAAGCGTGGAAGAGTGAGTGGTCTTCTAGTCCTTACCGAGGGAAGCACTTTGGACGGTGGGTGCGTGTCCTAGAGTGATAAAGGACGTCTCTTTAAGGAGAGATCACGTGAGGTCTTCATGGAAATTTGGAGTCACTCCGACTCGCTCGGAGACAGTGCCAGTTTCATGCACAACGAGTGCACTAAGTAATAAGGAAAAGGCAGTGGATATGACATTTGCCCCTCCCCCAATGGTGCGACTCCTATTGCCCGGGTAAACACCGTTATTATGTCCCCCACCAGGGTGAAGATCAGATCATATGGCTTTTCGTTAATCCAGTTCCGTCCATTTCCTATTCGGACACGTCGCTGGTTTAGTGCTGCTAGTAGTGGTTATAGCAGGGAAACATTTCTATTATTAATCGCAGAGTTACCTTGCTAGAAAGTCGGTCAGCCAACACAAGGCAAATTACTGGGTAGTTGCCTCGTCGGAGTTTATCTTTCATGGCCATGACTCTGCTTCGCCTGTCTGGGATTAGGGCAATGCCGTCTTAGCTCGATGAAGAAAAAGAAGAGGGGATAAATCCTCCAGAGAAAATGATCTCCTCGAATTATGCTGAATTAGGCAAGATCATCGCTGTCAGGATTATTTCCGCACACTTGGCCCTACATATCATACATAGGATCACATCACACCAGGCAGTGGAACCGGAGCAAAGGAATCTTTCTTCACCCCATCCATGCCTACATTCTATACCCTACAATCCCTATCCTTAACATAAATGTAGGGTCCGCGAACAATGCTTGCATAGAATTCCCTCCCTCGTCACTGCCAGTATGAAGGGCACGCGTTTCCCGCTCCCTGTCTAGGGTCATTTCGGCATTGACTCGGCTTTTACCCCCCTGTCACTATTCTGCATCATCAGACCATAGATGCATTCTCGGACTTGCCCTTTCTCCATCTTTGATTTCTATCTACTAATCATGAACGAAATAAACGGTGGAAGAACCCGTAGCGCCCATCGGGATTTGTGCCCTTGGGTACCTGTCATGCCGCCACCCTCGGTGCCTTGTGCCTGACTCTGGACTTGGCTTCCGTCTAGTCCTGCATATCTAGGAGCCCGTACAGTTGCATTGCCAATAACGCGGTTCGGTTATCAACTGGGGTACAGGGCTTATCGCATTAGCGTTTACTATGTGCCGTGAGTGATGTATGCAGATTGTAGGGCGAGATGTGGCGATTATTGCGGGTTTTACTGGCTTGCCTCTGGCCTTATTCCATTTGATTACCTCATTAATGGCTTGGGTCTATAGGACAGGGTACGCAAATGACTTGTGATGATCGCTATGTAAACTGTAAGCATACTTTGTGGAATAGGAACTCAACTTTAATACGACCATCCCGAGGTTGCAGCCGTGATGCTGAATTATCACGCTAATCTCCCTGCCGTCTGATAATTGGTAGATGGATATTTGATGAATCTCTACGACGACGTGTCTGCTCCAGCCAAGGCCGAACGGTAGCGAGTGTTGAGTTCCAAGGTTGTCACCAGCCAAACGAAGGGTAAGGATAGTGGAGAAGCTGACGTTGAACAAGAGAGTTACCGTTAGTCAACGGAAGTTGAGGCTTTTCCTCAAGGATATTGCAAGGCCTGACGAGAAGTGGGGTTGTGAAGGTAAACCGCAAGCCGTGGAGGGGAAGAAAGTTTACCGATGAGTTTTATTCTCATCCTAGTGCCGGAAAAGACGGTATCTTGTACCTAACGCATTGGCTCTCTATTTCCTCCTTTCGTATCCTACCTGGTAGTTGGATTGCCTCTCGATTTGTATCTAAGTTTCACGACCATCCGAGCGTCTGGGGAAGCTGGCAAGTAGGTGATGGCTGGGGGCGAACAATCAGACGCCACGATATCATTATGCAGATGATACGTGTATCATCGTCGCTATCTACTGATTTGAGCGATCTGGGAAAGTCTAAACTACATCTTGCTTAGGCATTTTACTGATGGTTAGGCAGTTTTGCTGGCGATCTTTGCTACATCAGGTTGTAATCGTTGTAGGGTTGGACAACCTGGCGGGCTGGACTCGAGAGACTCGATAAAAACCAACGCAAGGGAGAAGCATGTCTGTACGACTTTGGTGAAAGTCGGCTCTGCCCGGTCGATGCTGGACGGCACGTACGTAGTCCTACTCACCTACATACGTGTAACCACGCAGTCATACTTGCAGCTTCCCCTCCTTCCAGGGTTCAGCGAGAGAGCTCGCATCATGTATGTCGCTCCATATTCCAGCCACATGTACCGAGTATGTATACTACGAGTTAAACCCGATGGCCGTTCCTCGATCCGGTCGTAAAGTTCGTATGTCCCCGAAATATCTCCCGTTTAGCCGATAAGGACGCGAAAATAGATAAAAAAGAAACGAAACCATGGTGTATGCCTTGGTCCATGCGCTGTCGGGGTTGTTTCACATTGCAACAAAATCGTGTTCCTGCAGTTCAACGGGGTTCGTTGAACTTGCCGCACTTGCTTTTATTTTATTTTTTTTTTCCCCCTGTATTTATTTATTTACTGATTGTTGTCCCGTGGTTTATGCTTGTCTAATTTTATGAAGATCAGAGGATTGGTTATGCATTGGTGACGACGATCATAGTGACCAGCCTCCTACTGTCTTAGTCTGCCGAATCGGGTAATTCTCGTCTCCATGCCCTAAGTAATTATTGCATGTCAAGATGTGGTATAGAGTTTTCGAAAGTCGGTGAAGCTGTCAACCATCCACGACGTATAATGGTGATATATATATAGGAATATTGATTCTTTTTTAACTCCACGAACCATTGAGCCCGGTTCTCTTCGGATCCCATATCCGAAGAGCAGGTTGTGGGGGAAATTCTCCCTCTTGTTATAGACCGACACACAGTCCGTGAGCGGCTGCAAGGGTTCGAGTAAAACAGTAGGGAGGTTCTGGTCTATTGCTGTGGGCGCCGATGAAAAAAATCTCCTATTTGTTGAGCAAATCGGAGAATTTTCTCTCTTTCTTTTTGATCCTCGTACACCATGGGGAAGAAAAAAAAAACAGGCCTTGGTTGTATTACCTGACTAACAATTTCCATGGATTGCTGAGGCAAATGAACTTCCAAGGCGGGACGAGCAAACTAGTGTGCATCCTTTGGGGTTAATGCTCGAAGTGGTGTGTTTGAGTTAGAGATGCTCCACCGTGGTGCAGCAACGGAGATCTTGGCAGCTTTCCCTTAGTGGGTGGTCCTTGGAGGGTGATTTTCTCTGGTTCCAGTCCCCATTTCAGGAGGAGTCCTTTGACTTTTTGATACATGATAATTGTGGGTGATCGGAGGGTGGTCATTGCGAAGGTTGTCGACTATTGTTTGAGAAAATTCCATTTCTTGTTCTTTTTGGCTTCGATCCCAGGAATCGAATGATTTCCGAACCTGTTTTGGACAAGTTTGCCTGCTCTCTTTTTCTTTTTCTCTTTTCCTCTTGTTTCTCTTTTATTTGCTGCAACATTTCTCCACTTGTTTTAGTGGGGCGCCATCACTTGATTCACATTTCCGTTCTCTATCAATAACAAACGGCCGAACATGAATCTAAGGCAATCTAAGTTACTTAGTTTCTCACGGAATGCTACCCCATGTGGCTTAGGACAGGAGACGAAACCACCCCAGCACAGACGTTTGCCCTGAAGGTCATTCTTGATAGTCCATGATATAGTACCGACAATGGCACATTCTATGAAAAAAAAGCATATTAAACCATATCCGTAGAGTCTTAGACCGATAACGATAGATTAAATAGAAAATTCTTCTCGTTCCATGAGAGAATGTTGTATTCTGCATGGTCTCTAATCTTTCGGCAGAGAAGAACCTCCCCCCCCTCCCCTGGCCACTCCATCCAATGAACAGTAATACCATATCTCAATCGTCGATCGGCAAGAGTGATGACTAGAAAATTTGGCTGCAAAACGGTTTAAACCGTCGAAAGGGGAAGACGCACATGATCTCCACTAAGTAATACTAAAGTAATCTAAATGTTGCCGCCAAACTTGTTGGCCCTAAAAAGAAGCTCCGTCCATCCATGGTCACTGCATTGACCTCCCCTGTCGACAGCTCACGTTGATACGTCAATTCCTCCCCGACTTGAACCTCTCGTCATTGGGGGTTTTTTTTTCTTTCCTTTTTCCCTCTTCTTTTATTTATTTATTTATTTTGTGTTAAGATTACCTCCGCTTCCCAAGGTACGAACCAAGGTGTCGTGTAAAGCAGGACAGAAAGCTAAAATTACACAAGTTCCTTCGGTCTGTTTCCCCTTCATTATTCATTTGTGCCCGGATGGCGTTGAATTGTAACGCGCTACGCCGGCAGGAGATAGCCGAGCTTATTCCAGCGGCTCTCTTTCTCGTGTTGAGTTCCAGCTATTTCTGGTATTTGTCGTTGTCACCAATGTAGGGTTAGTTCGGGTGTTAGTCAAGAACTCTGCAAATGCAAGGGTTAAACTTGAAGTGATATCCTGAGGCAGCGGTCCACTCGTTGGCTTGCAGGAAAGAACCGGTAAGGGAAATTAGAAAAAATAATATTCAAATAAGATTAAAAAAAAAAAGAAATTACTGTAACATACTGTATAGATTTATTTTATTTTATTTTTTCTTCTTCTAATCCATGCTCATATAGTATAGAAATTTAGTAGAACAAATATTATTGAAAAAAAAAGAAAAAAAAATAGAAGGAAAAAAAAAGAGAAAGTAAGCAAAAAACTAAAAAAAAAAAAAAAAACAAACCCTTTTCGTAAGTGACTCCACGTGTGCACGGCTTTTTCCTTGTACTTACTGTACTTACCAAAGACACACACATTCTCTCTCCACTTCTCCCGTTTACCTCAATACCACGGATAGTCCGCCCGGTGGAGATCAATGTAGTGCGTGGTCCGTCCTCCGTTCCGAAGGTTGTGTGATCTCATGGCATCGAGGGTGGCTATTTTTCCA